TAGTGTTTAGAAAACAGGAACAAACAGACCATCTTTGTACATGAGAAGAAGGACAGCCGCAGAGCTCTGTGTGTCAATGTGCTTCGAAGTCAGGTCTTGGGTCACTACCAGGGAGAAACACCACACAGCTGACTTCCAGGCCAGCTTCAGTTGAGGCACAAATTGTGCTGCTAAGTTGCTGAGCACCATGACTTTGAAAATCATCCAGCATAGTTCAGAAATGCGACTAGGACTTTGTGGTGGGTGGGAGGGTGTGTAGCTGGGGGGCGGGGGTGTCTCATTTCCCGTCAGCAAAGCAGCTGTTTCTCACTACTTCCATCCAAACTCAATTCCTCCAGCTCCGTGGCTGGACCAGTTCGCTGGAGTGAACGTAGGGGATAGGAATCTACTAGCAGAAACCACTAGCAAAACGCGGTTAGAAAAGTTTCTGTGCTTCAAGTGGAGGCAGGAGCCCAAAGTGAGCGTCACATGAGGTGACTTGAAGCCTTAGGAACCCCAAACTGCACAACCCCAGGAAACAGCCACCAGGATCCTAGTCGGGGTGGCTCAAACGACAGGCGGGAGGTGTCCGTTGTCTGCTCACAGGATGGATTATGGACAGTATCCCACCTATCCTTCCAGAGACGCAGGTCTGACCGTCTCATTTCATTCTAAAAGAAAGCATGGTTTTAAACACACAAGCAAACCAAGCCTGAGAGCCACATCACCCCAAATGCACATCTCCCCCACCGTCTGTCTAGCTCTTCGCACATAAAACCGCCTGTGCGTTCTGCTCCTCGCGGTATAATTGGGAGTCGGGGAGCAATGTCTCAAGAACAGGAGAACATCCGATCAGAATTCCAGACAGCTCCTCACAACTCACTTGTTTATAGAAAATGAATGTCTGCCTGGCTTGCTTTCATTTCAGGAAAGGGGTCAGTCTTTATCAGCACAGTTCACACAGATCCTGGATTTCCCCCCTCCCTTATCTAAAATTGACCCGCTTTTAAGATAAAGACATAATAGAGAAAGCGTTGACCTTACCTGGTCCCTAATAAGGTGGAAGTCAGAAAACCCCGCTCTCATTTCTCCTCTTATCGAGACTCCTGCTACCTTTTGTGCACTGGCGCCTGCAGCAAGCCTGCCACGGGCGCCCACACGCGGGTCGGCGCGCTCCCAGTGCGGGCCTCTAAAGGCTGACGTTCTTCCCCGGGGCCTCCAAATGGCAGACCCCAAGCCAAGCCCAGACAAGATCACTGCAGCTCCCTAGTCCTGCCCAGGAAGGCCGAGAATCCCCGAGGGGCTCCGGACCAAGTCTTGGAAAGACTCAGCCCCGAGCAGTGGGAAGTAAAAGGGCCTCCTGCGAGGGCCCTGGGCTGGGGCGGGTAGGGACTCCAGGCTCCAGGAGCGGGACCCAGTCCCATTTCTCGTCGGGTCGTCTGGGGACTTGGCTCGGATTTCCCCCGCCGACCCTGTGCGACTTCCCATCTGGCCAGTCCCCGTCCCGTCCCGGAGTCGCTGTCCCCTTGGTTGTGGCATTCTTAGCTCTGGCCCGCCTGCCGGCTTGGGGCCTCCCGCTGTCCCAGCCAATGCTCCCTTCCCTCCTGCCCTGGGAGTCTCAGCTCGCCTCCCGGAGCCTGGACCCGGCCAGCTGCGAGGGCTGCCTTCCTGCCTCTCGGGTTGGAGCCGGGAGTCCCCGAGCTGGGGCGGGGGTGGGGAGCGCTTTGGGATGCTAAACATCAAACAAGCCAAGCTCGGGGTTTCAGGCCCCGAAGCCACTAGAGCCGCTCTCCAGGACTCTCGAGAAAGTCCTCGTGTTTACATGGCGGGGTGGGGGTGGGGAAAGGAGGCCTGGGACGCGGGCTGCAAAGTCGCCCCCATGCCCACAACAGGGGAGGCCGAGGGGTGGGGTAGGGGTACTGAGGCAGGGGTCCCCTTCAGATTGGCGGGGGTCGAGGGGTGAGCTTTGCTGCCCCCACACCTGGGGGACCTTCTGGTTCTTCCAGGCACTAAAGCAACAGCGGCATCCCCAGAAGGCGGGTGTCTCCCGGGCCAGCCAGAACCGAACTGTGAAGGCCTGCTGGAAGAGGCATCCCAGAGAGGAGCCCGGATGGCAAGGGTCCCCCGAAGGCTCGTGACCCCCTGGCGCTGCACCCAGCAGGTACCTAGTTCCTCATTCAGACGCCTTATAGGCCAATTCTTGGAGCTGTAACCAGTGCCAGGCCAGGCGCCGGAGCTGGAGGGCCCAGCACGAGTGATGGGGAGAACCCGTGGA